GCTTAAATCTGTATGTAATCGTCCATGGCAGGCATATTTTCTCGCATGTTCGCACTTCCAAAATATTTTTTCATCATATCTTCGATGAATAATATATGAAAAGCCGTTGTGAATAAGTAGTGGAGCGTTCTTCGAGGTTTTAGAGAGAGTAATTGGCATGATTCTTTTGGTTGTGAACTGTACTGGAACTGGTACCGCTTTTATAGGGATATAGCGTTTATTATAACTCATCATTTTATGAGAATTAAATTAATTTCCACAAATTTTATTAAAATTTGTGACAATAATTTAGTTAAACTAAATTATTGTTACACATTTCTTTTTGGCGAGCAAGTATCCTAGCGAGGAAGTGTCCTGGCGAGCAAATGTCTTAGCGACCAAGTGTCCGCGAGCAACAGTCCGGCTCCGCGGCAACTGTCCTAGACCCCACATAATGACTATTAATTGCATAACTTCGCTCAGGTTTCAAACATGATATACAAAATACAAAACCAGGTTCAGTTATTCTTCTCGTTTCTTTTCCAATAAACGAGTCTTCACAGTAGTGTCATTCGCGGGTAATCGCGGTAATGTCGTTCGCAGTATTCGCGGTAATTTCGTGTCACGGATAATTTGCGATGAGAACTAGTCGATTTTTTCGAACTAATAGAGGTTGGCCCATAGTTAAAAAATCCTGATTGCGCCCTTGGACCAATTTAAATATCCTTGAGCAAATTAATTATGCATGTACAAGTAAGTTACAGTAGGTGGGATTTGCACAAGTCAAGGATAATATTATACCTCCTACTCAAAAATATTATTTCACCTGTGCAGAACGCGTTTAGTCAGGATAATATTTACAGTAAAATAAATTAAAGATGTGTAGGCTTTGGTAAGATAAAAGGTATACCATTTATTATACCGAGGTGTATGAAGGCAGTAGAAAAAGAAAAGAAATCAATTTTCTTTTACCATGGTACATGCATTAGCCGATAACCAGCCAAGTTTGATTAGCTGAATCAACGTCTTCTTTTCTTTTTCTACTGCCTTCATACATCTCGGTATAATAAATGGTATATCTTTTATCTTACCAAAAGCCTACACATCTTTAATTTATTTTACTGTAAATATTGTTCCGGCTAAACGCATTCTGTACAGGTGAAATAATATTTTTAAGTAGGAGATATAATATTATCCTTGACTTGTGCAAATCCCACCTACAGTGATTTACTTGTACATGCATAATTAATTTTCTCAAGCATATTTAATAAACTTAAATATAAAATGAACTTTTAGCATGTTACTATTTGGCTTCCTAACATGACAGTAATTGAAGATCTTCCTGATGAAATTTTGTTGCTTATTTGCAGTTATCTCAATACCATTGATGTTTTAACATCATTTTATGATCTCAATTATCGTATTAATCGCACAATCACACAGTACCGACAGCACATTAGTCTCTTATCTACATCACTCAAGCAAATAAATCTATTTTTCAAAAAACTTTTACCATTAGAAAAGAATAGTATACACTCGTTAACGATTCGTGATCAATTTGTACAATCTAACCAAATTAAATCGATTTTGAATATTAAAAAGCAATTTGATTTATTTAATTATGAATCTCAAAGTCAGTACGATCTGTTTTATGATTTTGAATTGATTCTATTACAATTATGGGATTTACGTGATTTGAATATAGACTGCATGGTTAGTACACTGAGCCAGCTAGAAAATTCTATATTTTCAAATCAACACAAATTATTAACAAAAGTATCAATAAAAACTATAAATCGTTTTAACTTCAGAGGCCATTGCCAACTCTTTAATCCCTTTTTACTCGATTTGACACTAGGATTGATGAATATCAACGATCTTCTGACATTATTTAAAATAGTGCCTAATATTCAACGTTTAAACGTTGATATTTATCACTGGTCCAGTTTCTACTGTCCACTTGAACACAGGCGATCATTATCTAATGTGAAATATTTTCAATTAAAAACAACAATTTATAAACACGAAGCATCTGCTATTAATATTGTTACACTTCTCTATGGTCTACCGTCATTAACGCATTTATCTATTATTCTCTGGACTGATATAAAATGTTTCGTGAATGGTCAATTGTGGGAAAATATGTTTAAAACTAGACCAACATTAACAGACTTTAAATGTTTTTTCACTGTTGATATCAACAAACAAGCATTGAAACCTAAACGAATCTTAGAATCATTTTCTACTACGTTTTGGCAAGACGAAAAACAATGGTTTTTTAACCTCGAAACGGATTCTGAATATGATTTGATTTATTTCTACACACCATCTATTGAAGATAATAATTTCAAAATATATGGTACATTGTCGAATGTCCAGTCAACAAAAGTTCTAAATGTCCAAGAAAGAAATTCAAATCTATTGCAAACATTTAATCATTTTTTACAGGCATATATCTAATTAACAGCTAAGCTAGAATGAGTCATCTGAAAGCATCACACGTACAGCCTGAGCAACTGATAATTAGTAGATAGTATTCGTTTCAATTGTCCACTAAAATATATTAGTGAGAAATTAGACATTCGTTATGTATTGTTTTTAAAAAAATAAGATTTCTCCTTTAATAAAGTGAAGAACTTTGAATGAATCAAGTAGTTACAAAAAATAAATCATAAGAAATGATCGTCATAAAGTTCAAAATCTCATTGGGTCAAGGCTGGAAAATGGCCCATCTCCGTAGTTACGCTCATGGCAGTAAGAGGACACCTCCTGTATCCCGATCAGGATATAAAAGAAAATGAATATTCCGATCGAGATATAAAACACAAAATTTCGTCGTAAAACGATTAAGGGAAAAATGACAACGTTATGGGGGGAAATTGGCGTTACTATTAGATAGAGCTCGACCGACTACATCGGATTCGGTTGTGTTTGATTAAAAATGACTCAAGCATCCAGCAACTATTTTTTCGAACAAAAACCTTGAACAAATTTCAGTCGAATTTATATCCCGATTGGGGAATAGGCGGTTAACCTCTTGTTGCTCAGAATGGGATATATTTTTGATCTAATCGCTTTCCACACCCATCGTCTTTATTTAATTCTTCTTTTTCCTACAAAAAAATATTAATATGGCAGAACCTGCTAACAAGCCCGCCATTCAATTCCAGCAGGCAAAATTCTCACGAGCAGATCTGTGCAGGTCTATAGGGAACATCGTGGTAGACCTTAAAAGACCTGCGGCAGACACGAGGTATGTGATAGTGTCTGCCGCAGGTGTGACATCGATAATGCTAGAGTGCACTGTTCTATCTACTTCAGCGAGCATAAAAAATATCGAAAGGGAGAAATATCGAAACATATGATATCACTAGTGAACAAACTTTAATTTCGTGTGAACATTTTCTTCTCATTATTTTATTGGTGTGGAACTAAAAACAGTACTAATGGTGACGAGTACTATCTAGACAAAGAATAGTTGAATAGTCAGGACAACAATATTACACAAGTAAAATTCTACAGCTAACACTTACTATTCAGTGTCGTATTGATAGTCTTGATAAAAGATACTATGATGGTCTAATTGATGTGAAAGAATATTTACATGGTTTGTCATTAACAGTTGCTAAACGGAAAAAATGACATTTTAATTCTAATTCTTTGTATTATCTCTAACTCATGTCTTCCACTTATCAAACGTAATCAAGCATAAAGAGCATTTCATCAGTTGAAATTTTCGATATTTTTCCACTACGATATTTTTTCGTTCGACATTTTTCCTTTCAACCAAACTACGGCCAACCACAATTTTTATTTTTTGTATTTTTATTCTCTCCTCTCCCTGGTCATCACACAGATGCAATGACTCAGTCGGTTCCCTGTGTTTCGTAGGAACTGTAACAGCATTGTATGTTAATAAAGATTAAACTAATAACCTTAGCAGAGCGATCTTATGTCATTCAAAATGCCGAGAATGTGAGACTTCGCAGTTTACTGAATAGCTAAGTTCATGTGTTCGAATCTCTATTCGTACAAAACTGATTTTGTGTTTTAGTTTAGAATGCTATAATGGAATATTTTTTTGTTCTGTACAACGACTGAAGTTGTGCAAAGTTGTTTCTCATTTTTCCCATGCGACTCAGTAAAAATAGTCACCACCCGGTTTTCTGATGCTCCTAAAAGTTGCGTTTTCTATGGCAACATAAAAACATGGATCAGTATCATTACGCGCTGTTTGACCAATCAGTTTGAAGTTAATTTCCTAACTGTCCTTAGTGCATAAAAGTCTAAGTATTTTCCATTTCATTTTGAAATGAGGACAGGTTTATCGAGAAATGGTAACTACCTATGACTGGTTGGCATGGCTGAATAAGACCGTTGAAATAACTGATTCAGCAAAGATTTTTGTGCATGAAACGACCGACCAACAGGTCTTTTATTACCTGTTTTCCGTTGAGCTTTAACGTACGAGGATACTTACGTTTTTCAAGTGTCTGACGCTTTCGCTGTTAGATGGTGAATTACTCGCTCTATTTTAAGCGTTTCATGTATTTCCTCTTTAGTATGTCTCGTGTGCACGAGACGTGCCGGTTCGTGTATTTCATCTTCTGTTGATGGTTTTTCTCCGCAAAGGGTGCATTCTTCTTTTTTTTATTCAATTGCAATAATCTCGTCTTTCTTCTCTATTAATTATTTATATTTTATAATCGTCTTTCTTCTCTATCGTCTTTCAAAGCAGCTTTACTTCAGGGTTCAAATTGCGTTCTGCTACTGCGTCGATCGTCAATTACAAGCAACGATGTATACATCTGATATATGTGAAAAAGAAGTATTTATTGACGACCAGGTTTTTAATAAAGATGTTTTAATTCAAGTACAGCAACAGTTTCAGTTTATGTTTGTTCGGTTTTCTGGTCAGCTTTTTTCGAATTCTGTTTAAAAAAATAATTATGAAAATTGTAATGTTAATGAAAAAAACGAGTGATGTGTAAACCCCCCCATAATAGAAGCCTCCCCCATATTAGAAGCCCCCTTCCCGTATTAGAAGCCCTCTCTGGAGGGATCGATGTGGAAGGTGTATTAGAAGCCCAAGGACTTCTATTACGTCGGAAAAATAATTTAAATTTTTTAAACGACACATTTGATCGACACGCGTTTTTTTACTTTAATTGTTCTTGTGTGATGTCGTGTGTAAAAAAAGGAAACGA